GTTTTAGAGAAAACTGTCTCATTTTTAACTGTATATTGTGTTCAAAAATTCTATTTTAGAATTATATTTCAGCTTTTTTGTGCTTATATTTTCAACTATTTAATGTCTTGATAATATGTATTTACGAGTACCCGTACAATCATCCACGTGATTTACAACTAATCGGAGGGGAAAAAGGCAATTAGTGTTTACTCAGGTTTTAATGAAGTTTATGGTCGTTTCGATGTTACGTATGGTTAAGGACAGATCAGGTGTAGATCAATTTTTTTTCTTCAATAATATATTTCTGTATTGTAAATTATGTATCTGAGTTTTAACATTGAAATTGAAATTACGTTTAAACCAAATGAGTTGTAAAATATATGAAGTTATTACGGTATATTCACGAAATGATCTCCTCCGTGGAGAATTCATATGTGGAATAAGGATGCTGTTCAATAAATGTTTTAAAAAATTTGAAGCAAAATGCACTGTGTTTAAAATTTCATATAACTAGTGTGTGAATTGTCAGAAAGAAGTCATACAAACATACACGGAGAATTTAAAATAATTTTGTTTCATAACATTACATTGGACGATTTTAAGTTTTTCTAAGATTCATTAGTAATTGAGTAATGAATTATTTCATGTGTATAATTTAACAGCAACTTGTTTTAATTAATAGTTTCTATAATATTACTTGCATATTTACTTTTGATCATTGAAAGGGGTATCTACCGAGCACTAAAATTTTTGCGTGTGTAATTAAAAAATATCCAACGTAGTTATGTAAAAACTACGCAACTGGATCAATGCTCAGTCGTATAGTGCAGAAGTCCATTGTATCATTAGCACTGTGGCTCAAAGTTTGTCAAGAATACAACTGTAATCCAGTGATATAGACTAATAACATTTGTATCGGAAAATACTTTTTTTCCCCGATCACATACATTTTTTATTTTAATTGTAGGGTCATCAAGTGTAAAAATTCATTAAATCATTCGCATTATACCTCTCATCATTATATTTCAGGTTTTTTGTGCTTATATTTTCAACTATTTAATGTCTTGATAATATGTATTTACCAGTATCCGTACAATCATCCATGTGATTTACAACTAATCGGAGGGGGGGGGGGAAGGCAATTTAGTGTTTACTCAGGTTTTATTTAAGTTTATGGTCGTTTCGATGTTACGTGTGGTTAAGGACAGATCAGGTGCAGATCAATTTTTTTTTCCTTCAAGAGACTTCTTCGCTAATCACACTAAAGTATCTACTTTAAGACATTTAATTTCAGTTTCGCGATTGGTGTATAACTGGAAGACTGTGAGCTCAGAATATGCCATATTGGTTGAAGCTACGATCAGATCGTTAATTCTTTCGCTACAACAGAAGTGTGTTCAGTAATACAAAATATTGAACATATAACACTTTGGAATACCATGTGTTACATTTCTAATTCGAATGCGTCCATCATTTAGTTATATATACATATATATATAATGTAAAAAAAGAACACGTTACAGGGGTGTGTTGTACTTTAGTAAACTAAATAGTCAGCAGATACGGCAATAATTTTACGCTTGTTTGTTGGTAAGCGCAAAACCACACAAATGAGCTATCTATGCTGTGCCAACTGCGGATATCAAAACCCTATTTTCAGTATTATAAGCCCTCAGGCTTACCGCTGAGCCACCAGGGGGCAATAATTGTAATGTCAGTCATGATTGAGTCTTGTCAGCCAGCGAATTTTAATATTTAAAAAAACTGGATAACTTTGTACAATGAACGTTTGAAAAAACTAAAAACGAAATGGTGCCTTATAACCGACATGTGAGATTGTGTTCAAGTTAATGCTATTTTGGGGTTCAAGTCGAAATTGCGAGATTTAAGCAAGATGGTGCTTTTGTTTTACTCTACTCCAATAAATAGATTTCTGTGATTTATACTAACTTGCATTATATACTCGCACTGCGGGGTTCAAAGCCCCTTCTACTTTAGGATTCATAGAGGCTTAAATGTACCGATCAAGATCTTTTATTACCCACAATTACTTCTACTAGGGGAAAATCGTGCTCCGCGCACGAAACTTTTTTGTTTATGGTATAACGTACTTGAATGCACAAATATTATGAAATGTAAAGGCAATATTGTGTATTTAAAGTAATTAACCTCTTACTGTAATATGTGGCACCATACCATTTGAACAACGTTTACTCACAGTTCAGGGCCCGGCATGGTCAGGTGGTTAAGGCACTCGACTCGCAATCTGAGGGTCGCGGGTTCGAATCCCTGTCACACCAAACATGCTCGCCCTTTCAGCCGTGGGGGCGTTATAATGTGACGGTCAGTCCCACTATTCGTTGGTAAAAGAGTAGCCCAAGAGTTGGCGGTGGGTGGTGATGACTAGCTGCCTTCACTCTAGTTTTACACTGCTAAATTAGGGACGGCTAGCACAGATAGCCCTCGTGTAGCTTTGCGCGAAATTCAAAAACAAACAAACATACTCACAGTTATATGCGCAAATTGGAGATAGCGACTGGTAGGTTATAAAAGATACATTTTTAGCCCTTACTAGTGGCATGTGTTTCCCTCTATGGAGGGCTATATTAACTGCAACTTTTGGACAAACATAGGCAAACCACGCCCTGAAGCAGGTGGAAGCATGACCAAGTTCATGCTATTGTTTTACCAATTTATAACTTTTGTTATAGTGCATAAACAAATATGGTGAAAATAGTAAAGTTTGGCTGATATTGTGAAGAGACTATATATGATTGAAGTTATGAGTGATTGATCCAAAGAAGTGTTTGTGACGTATTCGACACACTGCTCACTATCAGTAGAAATTGATATAAATACGTTTTATTCCAAAAACCGTGGCCAAAACGTTATCATTCAAGACATACCAGACGAGAGTAATGAAAGTATTTCAATTGCGGCTGAAGATGAACTGTTTCAACCAAGTGTGTTACTTACAGATCTCTCTTATTCTGATGATATAGATTCAGGTAGGAAAACTAATTACTGTACGTGCTTTAGTTATATCAATTAACAGCCTGCCAACATAAATGACGTAAGAGTTTATATAGCATGACAACAGCCTCATTTAGTAAGTCTGTTGTACTGCAATTAGGCTAGTATCCAACGACAAATGCTTTGTGTAGATAAACAAGTTGCACCTTTCAAATATCGATCCACACTGAAACAGTATTATCCTCAGAAGCCTCATAAATATGTGTACCTTGTGCTAACTATGGATTAGTGCATAGCTTTGGATTCTATACTGGAAAACTTCAACCAGTTCCCGACCTTCCTGATATAGGTCCGAGTTCAAGCATTGTCCTGGAACATGCC